CACAAACCGATCGAGATCGAGAGTGAGAGCAAGAGCCGGCAAATTCTTTTAGAAAAAAAATATGTGAAAATGGAGCATACTAACATGTATAAAAGGGATGGGCTTGCACAAGGGCCAACCTTGCTTATAAGGGGAATTTTATATAGAAATACAAGTTTTTTCCAAACATGTCACTCCCAATTAAAAACACGCACCTTCGATCTATGAAAAAAAAACTTTCTTAAACAAAACATTTCCAATTCATATACACACATTAATCTATACAAACAATTTTATTTATACATGACTTATTAAAAACCAACCAAACAGCCCGATGTATTATTAAGAATTTGGGGCTGAAAGCACGTACAAAATATGCTTATCGATAAAAGGTGAAACGATAATAATTTTTAACATATACAACCATCAATATTAATATACAGATGTGTATGATCATAGATTATAATTTCTCTTAATTTTATTTTATAACGAAATATTGAATTAATTTTCAGTTTTTAAACTACAATAAAAATTTACATCCTACTCGACCCATGACATAAGGATAAACACGTACTAAAAAGTAGTAATACCTAAAACTCGATCATAAAGTAGAAAGTTTACATCACTACTCAAATGTCGTATTATTAAGTGGTTAATTACCCACGTAATCTCTATTAGTTAATTATTCAATTCCACCCACTCACTCACTCACTCACTTCCTTCCTTCAACTTTTCACTTTACCATACTAATTGTTTATATATTATTTGTTAAGTTAGTTCAATTGACAATAAAACTTAGGTTTTTAGAATTTCTTAAATATCAGTACCGGTTCGAGTTCTATGCAGTAACTGAAGATTTTTCAGACTAATTTTCTAACGACACATATAATTAGTCAAAGTGCATACAAGTCGACTAATTAATTGGATACTCAACCCTCTATTTGAACTCCTATTTGTGGATAAGAATCACCAGTCTCAAAATCTATCGTCTTTTTTTCTACCTAATAATAAAATTAGGATATATCGGATTTTATTTATTTTTAACTTTTATTCATTGGTTTTTGTTGGTGTGTGAACACGTGGCACAATCAAAGAAGTGTGTGGGATCCATGACACGTGGCATAAATTTCAGAAGTGAAGTAAATGGGGCCCATGACACGTTGTTAATATTGGAACAAGAGATGGAAGGGAAGTGGTGCATGTGGGTGCCATCTTCGTACATATAATACACTGGATCATCATAATATATATAATCTTATCTATTCTTTTCTTTTCTATGCGTACTGAATATTAAGATGCAACAATTTAAAAAATTAAAGGGTCTTTGTCCTAACGGTACATGAGTTTTTTGTTTTTTTGAGAGTCAGAGGTTTAAACCTAATTTATGACTTCTTAACTTCAATTTTTTTTTTTTTTTAGATGATGAAATATTAGTGTTAGACCACAAGAGTGGTACCTGATTGGTTTGAGCTTGGCTCTAAAGGTTAAAAGTACTAGGAGGTTCCAAGTTCAAATCCAAAGAGGAATAAAAATCCCCTTGTGGCCATGGAAGTTCAAATGCGATGACTTCGAACTATCTGCAAAGCAGGTGGTTGCCCTAAGATTAATCGATTCACATAGCGGGTTGAATATCCATGTTAATCAATATATATATATATATATATATATATATATATATATATATATATATTAGTGTTAGATTGTACATTATTTATTTATTATAATTTAGTAAGCATAAAACACATATCCAACTAATTCAGATGACTGATAAGTCATATTTTATTCAAGATTAAATCAGTTTAAATTAATAGTAGGTTGTGGTTATAAGTCCACATGGTACTTATGATAACTCGTCCTAAATGAATGGAAAATTGATTTGTGAGTTTTTTTATAAGTCTCAAGTTGTGGACTATCCATAATCGTCATCATGGTTTTAAGTTGAATTCGAAGTTATTGGTCCAACATGTTGCTTTGGACTTGGGGCATTACAAAGGGTATCAGAGCCACTCTTTGTACCATCGAGATGGTGGTGCAATCTTATTACACATGATGAGTCCTCTATAGGGTGTTTGTAACATCTTAGGCAAATTCCACATTGTCGATTACAAGGAGAAAGAATCTAGGCATGCTTGACGAACAAATTTAACGGGACAGTTTCAGTGTAAAATTACATGTAATTTGACCTTTCTCATTCTTATTTAGTTATTTTTCTCGTTTGAAAACCCTACAAAAAAATATATAAACGGTTTTATTGAAAGGTTAATTAAACACTATATATGTGACACATCATGATTAGGGGTGTTAACGAGTCGAGCTTTTAACGAGCCGTTCAAGCTCGAATTTAATAATTATCGACTTCGAGTCGATCTCGAACACATACTAAAACTCGTTTAACTTGACGAGTAGAACTCTATAACATCAATGTTCGACTCGGCTCGTTCGGAAGCTCGATTAATATTTTCGTGTTGAGTCGAGTCGAGACGAGCCATTCTACCGTACACTCGATTAATATATATATATATATATTAATTTATACATAAATCTTTGTTTTTCTATAATATTACGTAAAAAGTTGTGGATTATGCCACTAATTAGATTCCTACCTAATTTATTTTTTTAAAAGTAAATGTTCCTTCAAATTCGATCCTATTTTTTGCTTTATTTTTCTTTTTTCTATAAAAATGATTATATATTCACTCTTTAATTTAATTAAATCACTTTTAATAATTAAATATTCTAGTATAAATTTACATACATATATTCATAAAATTATTAAAAACAAAAAGAAAAAGATATCTGCAGGACAATTGGCTAAGGTATCCATAAAAGATGACAAATAAAATATGAACGGATTTTATATTATTAAAAAATCTTGGTCCCAAAATAATTATAAATTATTATTTCATTCATATGCCTCTTTCTCAAAATAAATTAATATGTAATTATATACATATAAATATTTTAATATGTAACGTAAATAATATGATCTTGAAATTGTTTCTGTTTTTATAACCAGTTGTGAAATGAATATATATGACATTCATATTTCGTTTAAAACCCGTAGGTGTTGGCCAAAATAGAAAAATTAAAGGATGTTATATATATTACGATCAATTATTAATTTGATAAAAAGGACGATTGATTAATTTCATAATTATATATTATTTGTTTCAAACCTGGGAAGTGCTGACCGGGTAATTTTCCTTACCGGCTGAACATGTCAAGGGTCAAAAATCTTACCCGGTAGAGTTTTACTTGGTAAGTGAAGGTGACGACTATTACCCGGGTAAGTGCTTACCAGGTAAATTGTTGCATATGATACCATTTTGATGTACCACAATCTTACTCGATAAAATAAATTATATTGTTGACTCCTAATGGTAAGTGTTTACCGGATAAGTATTTAGGTATACGTCCCCTTAATTTCCTTATGGTGTTAAGTTACTTGTATTATTTTCACATATCTATTTAAATCATCACTTTCGATACATGTATCGTTCTCAATTAACTATATTCTATAAGAAGAATAGCATTTATATTAATTGTCTTTAAAAATGCACTGATTTTTGTAAAGAAAATATAACATGCAAATATATAGACAAAAACCACCCGTCCAAAAATCACAATTCTCATTCTTGTCTCACCAATAAAATTAAGACACACTGAATTTTCATTAATTTTAAATTTATCTAATTTATGTTCACTTTCTCTTTACTTAGATATCTATACCATATTATAAAGCATTTGACAAAAACACTTAAAAATCATTTTTTTATGTATGAATTACTGTTTATTGATGCATATTACTTAAAATTCAAGATTACAAGTAAATGGTGCGTAAGTATAACTTATTAAAGCTTCATATTTAAATTCATGTAACTAACTAGAGATAAACATAATCAAATACATGATAAATATCTCATTTTAAATATAAAAAATCTAAATTGTAATTAAGATAATTATTGAGTTCTAACAAAATACTTAATGATTATCTTTATAAAAAAATATTATTAAATCTAAATTAAATTATTTCGTTACTAAATTAAAATTAAATTAAATAAAAAATTGAATTAAATAAATCACAAAAAACAAGAACTGTTAAATAGTTAATTTGATATTAATATTCATATATCTTTTTTCAAAATTTTATGTTATTTTTCAAATTTATATTTTATTTAAAAATAAAAACATTATCGTTTTCTTAAAATCACATAAAAACGTATTATATCAACATAAAAAATAAAACAAAACAAAATATTAAAATCGAGATGTGTCTCGATCCATTACACGAGTATGCTTTTAGTATTTATATGAATATATAACTTAGATTATAAAATTAGTTTTTATTGTAATGATGCAACAATTAAGGAACAAAATGCGGGTCTAACAATTAGAACACAAACAGATATATATGTATGTATGTATTGTCAAATTTATGTTCTCCACGTACCTCCCTCCCGCTCCCGGTAACCCATCTCATTCATATCTATTCTTTCTCAAATCCAAATCTAACCCTAACCCATAACTCCTCTAATCCTTATCAAACACACCCTCCACATCAAAACCCACCACGTCCCTCTCTCTCTCTCTCACTTGATCATTCTTCCTAACTCTCAACCATACAAATCGAAACCAGCTTTCTGAATCTCTTTCAAAACCTAGATTCATGGAAGAACCTACTTAATTACTTCCATACATCTTTAATTACAGAAAAAGACCACCAAGAAATCTTTCATCTTCATCGCTTCTTCAATTGGTTTGGTGGATCTACGATATCAAGAATCCATTGGTCGATCTTCTTCTTCTTCTTCAGCAGCTGTCCCCTTTTTCTTCCTTACAGGAAAGTCAAAACCCAACCAAAAGCAACAAAGATAGCTAGTGAGGAAGAACCCTTTCCTCCCTTGGATCGAAACCCTAAATCTTTCAACTTTCTTGCTGTTTGATTGGTTAGTTCTTGAGGGTTTAGAAGAATTCAAAAGCTTTCAACTTTGAAGCTTAGCTAGCTAGGAAGATCGAGATCAATGGATCAGATAACGGCATCATCTCACGGTCACTCTCTTCCTCCCCCTTTTCATACAAGAAACTTCAATCTGCATCAATTTCAGCAACAAAATTCTGAAGATGAACAAAGCGGCACCAGTGGTCTCAACATGGGTGGCCACAAAAGAGAGCGTGAAGACAAGAGCAACGACGAGATGTTAAACAACAGCGGCGGTGGCGGAAGCAGTGAAGGCAAAGACGGAGAAATGGGAAGAAGGCCAAGAGGTCGTCCGTCTGGTTCAAAAAACAAACCTAAACCACCGATTATAATCACCAGGGACAGTGCCAACGCACTACGCACCCATGTCATGGAGGTTTCCGATGGTTGTGATGTGATGGATAGCATCAGCACCTTTGCACGCCGCCGGCAACGTGGTGTGTGTATCATAAGTGGAACTGGGACCGTCACTAATGTAACCCTCCGGCAACCTGCTTCACCAGGGGCGGTTGTGACATTGCACGGAAGATTTGAGATTCTTTCTTTGTCGGGTTCTTTCCTGCCACCACCTGCACCACCGGCGGCGACGGGGTTGACCATATACTTAGCTGGTGGACAAGGGCAGGTGGTGGGTGGTAGTGTGGTAGGTGCACTTCTAGCGGCTGGACCAGTGGTTATCATGGCGGCATCGTTTAGCAACGCCGCCTACGAAAGACTCCCTCTTGAAGACGAAGAAAGCACTTTACCGTTGCAAGGTGGGTCGTTAGGATCTCCGGGAGACATAACTCCACCACAACAGCAACAACAGCAACAATTATTAACGGATCCTTCGTTGTTTCAAGGCATGTCTCAAAACCTACTCAACTCCATTCAATTACCAAACGATGCTTATTGGGGTGGTGGCAGTGGCGGCGGTGGCGGTGCCGGTGGTGGTCGTCCACAATTCTAACTATAACCTCAATGAAAGACAGATGGAATGTAAACAAGATTTAGGTTTATCAAAGAGGATTCGAATTATATTGTTGAGCAAGATTTCATCAGGTTTCATTCTTTTACCCTTTTTTTCCCCTAATTTATGTCAACTCTTTTGCTTCTTAATTAATCTGATTTTTCTTAATTAATTAGATAGGGGGGTTCTTAATTAATGGTTACGAGTTGGATATTATTACTGTTAATTAATCAATCTATATGGTGATCATATATATTTGCACGTACATATATATATATATATGTATATATATATATATATATGTATATATATACATATATATATATATGTATATATATATATATATATATGTATATATATCTTTGTAAATTGTTGTTAGATCTTATAAATTTGGTGATCAGAAGTTGGATTAAATTCTAGGTAAACAACGATTGGTTAATGCACAAGATCTAAGAACACTAAAATCATGGGAACTGTAATGAGATTAAACCACAATCTTAGTTTAGTACTTTAGTTTATCTGCTTTACATGTTCTATGAATCCATATTGCCACATGTTTAACATGATCAAAGATTCATGCATACAAGTTACAATTATATAATTGTTAGAATATACGAAGATGTTTGATCATGGGTAACCCAGTTGGACATGTCACAAACATATTTTCTAAGAGATCCATGAATTGAAATATTACACGATAGTTTTGTAAATAATATATAAAATATATAATTAAGATATAGATTCAAAACCTTTTGGATGCCAATGGTGCATGTGCATACATACATACATATATATATATATATATATATATATAATTGGTTTCAAGATTCACAGTAGTGAAGCACCTTGAAGGTGCAGGTAGATATGGAGAAAAGAAAAGAGACAACCGTTACATATGCTTAATTTGACTAGAACGAAGATCGTGGTTCTTAAAGTATCCACAATGTTAACGTTTTTTTTTACTTTTTACCATAACCTCTACGATGGGTTAGAGGTTCTTATTTAGTGAAAAATATTTATTAAAATCTAAGTGCTTAAACAAGAACCAACTTCTTATATACATTCCATTTTATTGTTTTCTTATTTATAATTTTTTTAATTTATTAATCATTTTATTTTATATTAATAAATATTTAAAGTGTATAAGTTAAAATTGATAAAAAAAAAGTATAAATTAATTATTATAAAATGATTTTTTTTAATTCTGTTTTTCGTTTCTTGTAAATTTTATTCAAGTTTTTTATTAATAAGTTTAATTTTTAATTATATCATTATATTTAGATTATTTTTTAAATACATCTGTGTCTTCCAATGAAGAGCTTTTATGATCATCACCAATTGAAGACTACCAATTCCTCCCACATTCGAGACCAATAGGGTTGGATTTAATTAGTGTTAACTCTTTTAATTGTAATATAAAATTATATTTATATTTTAGTTATTTTTCAAATATGCTAATAAAATATATAATTAACAAATTAAAATAAATATAAAAAATATAATTAATAAATTGTATTTGAGTTTTTTATATTTTATATGTGTGTGTATATATATATTTAATATATATAATAATCTATAAATAAAATTACATTTTATAAATAAAAAAAAATGAAAAATAAGGTTTTTTTAAGAACCTCTATTGTGTAGTTTTAGGGGAGTGCTAATGGCACCCCCAATAGGGGGTGTTAAATGCATCGGGAATTGTAATTGATATAAGTCAATGTCAAATAATAATTATTATGTTTTATTATTAAATATATACATAGACACACACACACACACATATATATATATATATATATATTTATTCATTTATAATTTTAAGTTATATTATATAACTATTATATTATATATTATATTTTGTTGTATTATTTATTCATTTTATTCTTTATCTCAGTCGATGTTATAATTTGGCTTTATGTGATTTTGAGAAAGCGATAATGTTTTTTT